GCCCTCCAAGTACTGTAGGGTGTCAGAGATGCTCTAGTGCAGGATAAACTTGGCAATTTTAAGACTGGTGGACTTCAACTCCCAGAATTCCCTAGTCGGCATGCATGGACTTCAACTCCTAGAATTCCACAGCCAACATGCTGGCTGGGGAATTCTGGGAGTTGAAGTCCAGACGTCTTAAAGTTGCTGAGGTTGAGAAACACTGTTCTAGTGGATCCAGTACTGAGAGGGGGTTGGACCAGATGACTCCAAAAGTCTCTTCAATCCTATGATTCTCTAATTCCAACACATCCCATTATGGGGTAAATCAAGCCTATGTCAATCTGGTCCACCTCTGTTCAGAACATACTCCAATAGTAAGCCTGCTCTGTGAAATTTCCACACCATTCTGTTCATTCAGTGAAAGAGCAAGAACATGCCCTTTCTGTAGGCCATGTTCCTCTTCCGGCTGAGACCGATGGGACCTGTAATTTAATGCACCTGCAGGCTGCTAGGCAGGGAGGGGAAGGGTGATATACTTCAGGAGGGAGAGGGAGAGGGAGAGAAAATGTTAAACACAGCCAGTTTCTTGCAGACTATTTGTGATGCAAATGAATCCGGCTTCTGTTTTATGAATACATTGGTGGAAGTCATTTAGAGTCAATTATCTTTGGAGCCAGTGGGGGGAATGAGGCTGTGGAGCAGGTGTGTGCGCCTTCCTCATCCCCCCCCCCCCAACGCATCTAATACCAATCAAGCCCTGCTCTCCCTTGTAAGAGGTAATGGCAAGGGAAGGGGGAGGAGAACCCCCCTTCAGGCAAGGATGCCTGGCGTTGTGGGAACTCTTCTGATTTCCCTGCAGGTTGCGGAGTTCAGCCACGGAGCCTTGCAACTCCTACAGGAAGTAAAGGAAACGAAGAAAACATGCCTTTTTCCCCTTCCACCCCTCTTCCCCGCTGTTTTACATTCTCCCTACAAAATGGGTATCAATATGAGAGTTATTAAATTTGCATGCTGAAATTTTCTCCCTCTGCAGCTTCTCTTTTATCCTGGCAGGCTGAGGCTGGCCAGGGTTCTGATCGGGAGGGGGAGATATTCCCCCCAGTGTGGGGAGCGCTGCGCCAGCTGCTGGGGAGCACCCAGCCCACCAGCACCTTGACTTCCTGAAGACATTTGGTGGAGCACCTGGTGAGCAGAAAGCCGGATGAGGCGTCCTTGTGTCTGATCAAGTATGGCTCCGCTGATACAGCTTCGTTTTGGGGGCATTGCTGAGTCATGCATTTGGATAAGAATATCAGGAGACCTCCATCTCCTTCTCCTTCTCCTTCTCCTTCTCCTTCTCCTTCTCCTTCTCCTTCTCCTTCTC